AAATATAAACTAAAATATAAATTATTTTTAGTATATTTTACATTTCTTATTTCAAATTGCACTTAACATGTCCACTTCAAAAATACACCTGAACAGTGCCACAACACTGTGGTGTGTGATGCATGACTGTAGTAACATTCATGCATCACTAATTCTCTTGTTTTAATGTAAAATGCTCTGTACCTACTGCCATCTAGTGATAATAAAATTACATGATTACGCCGCTAGTCACTACTACAGCAGAGACACTCAAACATGGCGTTATTTGCAGATAATGAATTCGTTTTCAAAAAATCTTTTAAGACCAATTACCGTATTTTCTGGACTATGAGCGCACCATACTATAAACCGTACCTTCAAATTTTTTGGACAACCCCCCGGAAACTAACATATATCAGCCGCACCGGGCTACAGGCTGCTGGTATCTCTGCTGCTCTCAGTTTCCCATAAGGACCCAGCAGAGGGCAGCAGAGGGCAGCAGAGGGCAGGCTTCTAATAACTGATGGATATATTAAGGACGCAGTTCTCTGACTCCAAATCCGGTTTTGTTCAGGCCGAGTTTACCCTCCTGTACAGCCAGATCTATACTCCTCAATTTAGAAGCTGCATCATGTGAGTTTGAAAACATTTCTCCGTCGTGCCTGCTGCTAGCATGTGCTTGTTCTAAATGAAAATTAGCGCGTTCTTCTTTGATTTCCAATTCTGACTTCCAATGATTCACTTCCTGCGAAAGAGCCCCCTGGTGGTTGAAGAAAAATCCACAGAAAAGCTGCATGTTCAAAGTGTAGGAAACACGGGAAATACGGTAGGTGAAATTGGATAATTTTCAAAGCACAGATCACTCATGGTACACGAGTGTGCTGCGCCACAGTGGTTGAAAAACAGAACTGCTCTCTGTTTTACAAGTACTTCTAAAATTGTGGCAGTGATAGTTAACCATCTGTAACCATCTGTTACTCTGGATGGTTAGAGTAACAGAAAGACCTTGAAATAATTTTGTGAATTTATTTAATCTCTTGTTGAAACTCTTGTACAGTTTGACCCTGTGCAGGTTATTCATATTTACATTCGTGAACAAAGTGATATTTCAGTTTTGTCAAATTTATACAAAAACAGGGTAGGCTTATTAGCATACAGAGGATGGAACCCAGATAACCCATGACGTTAAATCAACGCTGAATTATAGTTAGAATTGTTGACTTTTGGTTGAAGTCTACAAATGTTGGTGGATCAACCATCAATCAACCATCCAATCAAGCCGTTGAAACTGTGACTGAATCAATGTTTTGTGGTTGAAATCTAATGACTGAAATGCTGATGTCTGATCAACATCTGATCAATATTGAATCAATGTCAGATGTATTGCCGCACCCCTTCCCCTCCTCTCCTCCTCATCAGCGCTCTGGGTCAGAGTATTTTATTACTGAGCGGGGGTTATCACATTTAAATTAACCACTGCAGAGGATAGTGGGTGATGATTCCTTTCTGTACATTTTCTTACTTGTTCATAACAATTCTCACTGACTGTTTTTGTGTTATATATTGACACAGAAACATCTACAACTTACTACAAAAAGTGGAGCGGTCCACCTCCACCATTTACATGAGTGGGATGGCCCAAACACACAGCTGATTCGCTGTTGGCTTGTTGGCAAAGATGTTAATTTAATGTTGAATTATGACAAAGGTTGCATCTATGGTTGAGGTCGACCACTGACGATGGATCAACCATGTAACAACCATCCACCTCTAGCCAATTAAGTAGCATTGAAACTGTGTCATTGAATCAATGTTGTTTTGTGGTTGACATCAAATAGATGAAATGTCAACGTCGAATCAGAAAATTTAATCACCACAAAAAATTGTTGTATACTTTGCTGTCCTTCAAATGAGACTCATGTTTCATAAGTTGTTACAGAGCAGGTTTAAGAGTGAATGTAAAAGTGCTCAAACAAAAAAACCGGGTTATAAGAGAGGGGGGAAGATGTGGCAAAGGTCAACAAGCCAGGACTGAGGACGCATACGAGTCGTGCGCTTTACCTCTCCAAGGCAAATAAACCATTTTCAATATCCAAAAGACTACAGACTAACTGACTTCTGGCATTAAAATATCTTTGTTTCTTAATAAAATGTAAAGTCTTACCAGTAGCTGCAGTAATGTTGATGCCACTGCTCCTGATGTTGTCAAGAACAGAGAAGAGAGTGAATGTGTAGTTTGTTGCAGGAGTGAGAGATGAGACTGTGTAGTTTACTGGTCCATCTGCAACTGGGGCACTGATGAATGTCTCCACACCATTAAACAGGAGAACAAAGCTGGTGTTGATGTTGATCTTGTTCCACTGCAGAGTGATGCTGCTCTCATTCTGTGCTGAAGCTGTAAAACCTTCTGCATTTGGTGGAACTAAGATAAAAACAATACAATCAGTAACAGGCAAATGCAACTGGAATGTGTCAAAAAACATTTTGCTTTTGGGTTTTGTAATTCCTTTAAATTCCTTTAAATTGTGAAAAGCAAAACTTTCAGAATTTGTTTTATTTTTTTCTGTGTTACATAACAATTTTTCCCAACATAATTTTTCCAAATGTAAACTTGGGGATTATTTATGGCCTCTGAAACAGCAGAAATGAGATACATTACTTTGTTTGTAGCAGACGAATGGATAACTCAGGCTGCAGCTTTCATCCGACCATCTTCCAGAGTCACTAAAGGATCCAACAACACACTTATCACCAGAGGGACCGTTGGGCTCGCCATTTGCAAAGTGTCGAAACAGAGAGTCGCTGCCATCAGACCACAGCATTTCCCGATACAGTCCAATCCAAACAATTCCGGGACCTATTAGGTTTCTGATGATGTCATTTTCTGCCTGATTTCGTACACTAGGATGGAAAAAACAACATGAATAAATCATCATATTAAATACAGTACATAAGGAAAACTAATCTGTGTTGGGTTTCTTTTAATTTTTCTGTTTCAAAACACACAAAAAGACAAAGCTGTGTTGTCCTTTGTTTGTTTCTGTTTTTAATACTCAAGAAAAAAATAAATTGTAATAAAACAGAATCAACCCTCCACCACTCAAAAACCTGCCATCCTAAATGGATTTACCAGGGGCGCCGCCAGGAATCTTGGGGCCCCCCTGCAAAGCTGCTGTTACAATTTTTGAGTCTATTTGACCCATCATCACAATTTTTAAGGATTGTAACTTTCTTTCTTTGGTTCAATACTGATACTAGCACAATATTTACTGCTGATAAATTTTACATCCAACAGTCTGCATACAGTATGCATGTAGGTTGCTTACAATTTTTCTATTAGTTTTAGATTGCTGAAATATCTCTCCCCACGGGCAACAGTCAAAAGCAACATGCAAAACACACATAAAGCAATCCAGACTTCTCAAAAAATGCTATGTAGTTGCATTTTATTAAAGCTGCTCTATATGACTAATAAAAAAATATGTAATATGTTTTCTCCATATTTGATAAAGTTGACACCATGTCATGCCAGTTTGTTATGAGACAGATAATCTGTGAAAACAATCCATCTCCTCCACCTCCTGCCTAAACTACCATTGCTAACTAAAGTAATGCAACGTTATAATAGCAGCAGAGCCGGAAAAGGGTAGAGTGCCTTCTCCGGGTCAGGGGGGTCGTCCTGCCTCCAGTGGAGGAGTTTAAGTATCTGGGGATTTTGTTCACGATTGAGGGAAGAAAGGAGGGGGAGATTGACAGGCGGATTGGTGCAGCGTCTGCTGTAAAGCCGGCACTGTACCGGTCCGTCGTGGTGAAGAGAGAGCTGAGTCAAAAAGCGAAGCTCTCGATTTACCGGTCGATCTACGTTCCCACCCTCATCTATGAGCTTTGGGTCATGACCGAAAGAACGAAGTCCTGGATACAAGCGGCCGAAATGGGTTTCCTCCGCAGGGTGGCTGGGCTCTTCCTTAGAGATAGGGTGAGAAGCTCGGTCATCCGGGAGGGACTCAGAGTAGAGCCGCTGCTCCTCCATGTCGAGAGGAGCCAGTTGAGGTGGCTCGGGCATCTGGTCAGGATGCCTCCTGGACGCCTCCCTGGTGAGGTGTTCCGGGCACGTCCCACCGGGAGGAGGCCTTGGGGAAGACCCAGGACACGCTGGAGGGACTATGTCTCTCGGCTGGCCTGGGAACGCCTTGGGATTCCCCTGGAGGAGCTGGAAGAAGTGGCTGGGGAGTGGGAAGTCTGGGCCTCCCTTCTGAAGCTGCTGCCCCCCTGACCCGACTCCAGATGAAGCGGAAGAAAAAGGATGGATGGATGGATGGTTGGATAGATGGATAGATGGATGAATGGATGAATGGATGGATGGCAGCAGATGTAGTAAACAAAGCTGTTCAGTCCATGTTGGTCACACTTCCAAATATTAAATTTACTTTTACAGCCGTTTCGTCAGGGTCAGCACGTCTCTCTTCATAGTGAAGGATGGCTGTTTCACACTTTAGGGAATTTCTGGTAAGCTTCATAGTATTGAACTGGCTCACTACATTAGTGACTGGGTAAAGTGTAAAACCTCAACAGAGTCCACGCATCAATGGAGCAACCATTTCTCAAAAGCTGAGAACACAGACCCTCTGTAAGAATCAAAGCGTAGAAACCAGGGCTGGATTTTTACTGGGCTAAAATGTTAAGCTTCTGCAGCTTTAATTTTTTTTTAAGATGTAAGGATTTTAAATCCTTAGTTTTCTAATTCACATAAAGGTAGCAGAAACTTAAAACATCTCATTAGACGATGTGTTAATGGAATTAAAGAGATTTGTTTAATAAACAGGCAGCTGTATAAAAAACAAGTAGAAAAAATATTTAAAGGAAAGACTGACACGCGGAAAGAAAAAGCAAAGTATGACAAACGATAAGAGTTACCAGAAATGCAGGAATACAACTTGCATAACTCAGCAACAGGGGAAACGGGAAGTAAATGGAAAGCAGCAGTAAGAAACAATGCACTGTGCTTAGTGCCAAAATAAACCACCAAGTGTTAAAGATAAAAAATAACAAATGAACTTCTTAAATAACAAAACAAAACCCCAAATGAAAATGTCTGTAGAATTTATGAACAAGAACTACAATCCCTCTTTATATAGAGTGTTGGCATCGATGCAGTATTTTGCTTGCAGTATTATTACCTGGCCAGGTCAACATAATTCTCACGGCAGAATTTCTGAGCTTCTGTCCAGGTTAATGAAATGCTACTCAAAACATAGGATGGTGATCCACCTACTGCACCTGTAAATGTATAGATGAAATGTAGAATAAGAAAACTAAAAGAAAATATACTTTAATTTATGTATATTATATATATATATATATATATATATATATATATATATATATATATATA